GGGGGTGGCCCGCAAACGTACTATGTAAACTCGAAATTGGGTGGGGGAGAGGGGTCTACGGAAGGAAGGTTTTTGAGGTTGAGTTTGTGATTTTTGAGGGGGTGGTGATGCAAGAAATGCAATTTGCACTCATTGGTAAGGTGTAGCTGGCACCTTGCCAGGTATAGATACCCAGGTAGCTAGAATTCAGTTACCAGGTACGTACTTCAAGTTCCCTTTCCGTCAACCGCTCGATAACCTTTACACACGCACAGCAATCCACAGCTTTGAAGTCTCATTCGTGCTTTGAACTTCTATACGTGTGTAAGAGGCAAAGCAACATAGCATTTATACGGACCCAGGGTAGCTACAATTCTGTTGCCAGGTAACGCACTTCAATTTCCCTACTCTGGGTCCGCGCCTGGGAACAGAATTGTAGCTACCCCGGGTCCGCAAAAATGCTATGTTGCTATACCTCATACACACCTATATAATACCTGGCAACTGAATTGTAGCTACCCTGGGTATCTATACCTGGCAAGGCGCCAGCTGAGTAAGAAGGAGGTTTCAGGGGGGTGCCCTGAGAAAGCACACTCGAAAGTAGGTGGTGTGTAGGGGTGCACGGAAGCACGCCGTTCGCAATGCAGCATGCTGCCTTTAGCCAACAACGTGCACGTGGACAAAAAGCGCTGGCTTTCGTTTTGCATCTTTTCAGGTTTATAAGTGTGCGTTTTGTTTTAACAGGTGTTCCTGCGAGAATGAAGAACTATGCAGGACGTCCAAAATTAGAAACACACAAGTGTTATGCACTGAATTATGCCCTATAACGTGCATGTGCGGAACTACCACATCTTGCATCACGATGCAAAATGATACCTCCAGTGTCCATGTGCGAAACCTGCAGTATCCCTACAGTGTCTACTTGCATTCCCTTTTCTCCTCCAACTCTTATCTCATATGCTTTGAAGTCTCTTTATTCTTCACTTGCTTGCAAGTTTCCTAACGTTGTTTTACTTGCCGCTAGCTCATGTCTACTTCATTGTGCCTCTCTCTACGTTTTAACATGTGTTTCACTTTGAGTGCTTGCCCACTTCTGCTTTGCCTAAGTTGCAACGCAGCAGTCAGTAACACAGCGCTAGTAGCACACTGACAAATATCACCAGTCAGTGTTTGATTGACCTGAACATGATACAGCGATCAATTCGGATGTGCCATGACTCTCGCATTTGGACACCCTTTGTGTCATTTGCGATGCAGCATTGTTTTTGCGATGATGGCGGCAAAATACATGAACCTGCTTTTGACGGACCAAATAGCACAGCAAAACCAGGTCTCACGCGTGAGTCGAAAATGGCGCAGAAAAGTTTTTTCGAGGAAATCCATCGGTGACGCATAAGTTGGATTACTTCTAGGTGTTTACTTTTCCCTGCCCTGTTCTCTTAACTGTTCTCCATCTTTTTTGCCCATTTTAACCTCCTGGATTGCTCTAGCCGGTTTTTTTTCTCTAATTTTCTCTATAAAGACTTCTTGGTGCTAATCTATTTTCTCAACCTTCCTCCACATGTGCTGCGTTTCTTTAGTTGTTCATCATTGCCCTTCGTGTCTGTGTTTCTCTATTCTGTACTGTACTACCTTGTTCACTGTTCTCCAGGTATGTTTACGATTCTGGAACTGACACTGGCACTGTTTTTTCTTTGAGTTTTTCCCTCTTTCAAACAGCTCTATTAGCGCCGTCCTGCATGTTCTGCTCTTCTTAAAAGGCAATTTGGGTCCCTGGAGTTTCGGCAACATGATAACTCGTACACATATGTTTCGTCAGAAACTCTCACAACGAACAATGTATATAAACTTCCTAACTCAGGGCTGTCTCTTAAAGACTTGCGCCACATGTGGAACAAGAGACCTTTTCTTTGTGCTGTAGACTCTAGTTGGTGGTCTAATAATAAAATCAAATGCTGATGTGGAGAGGTGTTGAACTGGTTGTTTGCAGAACGTCAGGACAGCGGGCTTATTGACATTAAGAACGCCAGATTTGCCAAGATCGGTGGGGGTTTCTTTGTCAAGCAACGGCTTCAGTTGACAAACCATTCAACTGTCAGGATTCGGCATGCTACGGCTGCAGGGTTAGGTGGAGGTTTTGCTACACTTGACGAGGTTGTGATTGCTGGAATGTCAAATGTGAGCATTTCTGACGCAGTCGCAACAGGTGGCGGTGGTTTCTATGCGGACAAGCGTTTACAGATGACGAGCAACTCAACCCTCAACCTTCAAAATGTGAAAGCTGGCAAACATGGAGGAGGCGTTCTTTCCCTTGGAGAGGTTGAGATCCGTGAAAGCTCAACTGTAATGATTTGCAACAGTCATGCAGTGTCTGGAAGTGGAGGAGGTTTTGTCACAGACGATCAGCTCAATGTCTCCAATGGATCTACCCTCATCATTCTGAATGCAACAGCTGGAAAAGAGGGTGGCGGATTCTTTGCTGGAGGAAAGGTTGAGATTGGCGGAAGCTCGACAGTGAGGATTTCCAACACCCACGCAGTCTCTGGAGATGGGGGAGGTTTTCTGGCATTAAATGAGCTGAAAGTGTCCAATGGCTCCTCCCTGATCATCCTCAATGCAACAGCTGGAAGCCGTGGTAGAGGACTTTTTGCCGATGGCAAAGTTGCTATAGACAACTCAGCAGTCAGCATTCAGCAAGCTACAGCTGCAGAGTTTGGTGGAGGTGCTCTCGTATTTGACGAGGTTGTGATTGCTGGAATGTCAAATGTCAGCATTTCCGACACAGTAGCAACAGAACAAGGCGGAGGTTTCGCAGTGCAGAAGCGGTTAAAGGTGACAAACAACTCGACACTGAACCTTCAAAATGTGAAAGCTGGCAGAAATGGAGGAGGATTGTTTGCCCTTGCAGAGGTTGACATCGATGGGAGCTCCACAGTGAAGGTTTCCAACAGCCAGGCCCACTCAGGAGATGGAGGAGGATTGCTCATAGAAAAGGGGCTAAACATCTCCAGTGGTTCTACCCTCATCATTCTGAATGCGACAGCTGCAAGTCATGGGGGTGGATTCTGGGTGGGTGGTGAAATGCTTGCTCTGAGCAATTCAACGGTCAGCGTTCAACATGCCACCGCTGGAAAGTGGGGTGGTGGTTTTTTGGCATCGGACCAGGTTGTGATTGCCGCAGGGTCAACTGTTAGCATTTCTGATGCAGTAGCAGCAGAAAGCGGTGGAGGTTTCCAAGTGAGAAAGCATCTGCAGGTGATGTGCAAATCAACACTGAACATTCAAAATGTGAAAGCCGGGGACAGTGGAGGAGGGTTCAATGCCGAAGGACAGGTTGAGGTACGCGAAAGCTCAATTGTGAAGATTTCCAACAGCCACGCAGTGTCTGCAAGTGGAGGAGGTTTTCACACAAATGAGCTAAACATCTTCAATCGCTCTGTTCTCATCATTCTGAATGCAACAGCTGGATCATCTGGCGGGGGCTTCCATTCCTCGGGTAAGGCCGCGGTTTTTTCCAGCTCGACTATCAGTATTCAGCATACAAGAGCTGGATTGTTCGGTGGAGGTTTTATTGCAGTGGACAAGGTTGTGATTGCTGGAAGATCAACTGTGAGCATTTTTGATGCAGTAGCAGCAGATCAAGGTGGAGGCTTCCAAGTTGAGAAGCATTTGCAGGTGACAAGCCACTCAACACTGAACCTTCAAGATGTAAAAGCGGGCAAACATGGAGGAGGGTTCCATGCTTTTCAAGAGGTTGAGATAGCTGGGAGCTCCACAGTGAAGATTTCCAACAGCCAGGCAGTCTCCGAAAGTGGGGGGGGCTTTGATGCAATTGAACTAAACATCTTCAATCGCTCTGCCCTCATCATCCTGAATGCAACAGCTGGACGTTATGGTGGAGCGTTTGTTTGCGAACACAGGGTTTCGATGCGCAGTTCTACAGTGCACATTCAGCATACTAAAGCTGGCAGCGGTGGAGGAGGGTTGTATGCCATTGGAGAAGTTGATATAGGTGGAAGCTCAACAGTCAAGATTTCCAACAGCCACACAGTCTCTGGGTATGGGGGAGGCTTGTACGCCAAAAAGGAACTAAAAGTCTCCAATCGCTCTGCCCTCATGATCCTGAATGCAACAGCTCCAGGAAATGGTGGAGGTTTCTATGCTGGTGGTAAGGTTGCAATCAGCAGCTCAACAGTCAGCATTCAGCGTGCTAGAGCTGGTAAGTTGGGTGGAGGTTTCTGCGCTGAAGGCAGCATTGCACTTTCCGATGCATCTACAGTTGCCATGTCCGACACCCATGCAGGAGTAGATGGTGGTGGGTTCATGGTTGCCACTGCGCTGGCTACACACAATAGCTCAATGTCGACAGCCAATTCCACTGCCGAGCGGACAGGCACCGCAGGTCGTGTGGATGGTCAGGTGCTTCTTTCATCTCAGTCCAGCTTAGATATTCATCATGCAGAAGGCGATGCAAACTCTGCTGTTCTGGCAGCAAGCTGTCTCCAACTACATCCTGAGTCAAGTCTGTTCCTCGAAGGCATCATTGGTCGGCATGGTTTGTACCTGCAAAACAGCTGCTCCTCCTCTCTTTGCTCAAACACCACCTTCCATGTGGCAGAGGGCGCAGCCCTGGATGCGACTGGTCGCTTGAGCTCGGGTCTTTTGTCAGTAAATGCCTGCCCTCATGAAGAGGTGCGCCTCTCAGGCATTCATTTGCGATCGTGGAACAGCTCGCTCCTCACCACACGCCCCCGCTATGTGGTGGTTGACAATGTCAACATTCACTACCTGCCACCAGTCGACCATTTGCAGGTTCTAGCTGCTCAGGATCGTGTGTGGTTTCGTTTGTACTGGAAGAGGCCACAGAAGTATCCACTGCGTTGGTCATCCATTTTTTCAATCTGATGAAAGTGTAAAACACGTCTTTCAGTCATCCTTTGCCACGTCTTTCAGAAGTCCTTCCTTTGTTGGACTCACATCGATCTTTGCCCAGCATGCCCAACTCTTCAGTCTCCCTGCAGGAGAACTTCAGTATCGACTCCTTGGCCATTTCATGCCCGGACTGTCCGCAGGGAGTGACCTTCAATGCAACAGAGGATGGAACCTTGCAAGCTCTGAGCCCAGAAAATCTCCATTGTTCCAAAGCCTTCACAGTGCCACTTGGTGAGAACAATGGTACCGTTGCTATATACTCCTTCCACAGTTTTGGATGAGTCCTTAAGACTGGAAATGTGTATGAAGTTGCTGTCATAGTTACTAGAGAGGATACCCTCAAGTGTACCACCGGTAAATGGTACCAAACCGACCCATGGTTTCTTCTTCCCCAAGTACAGACACCACTGGAGTTGCTGAAACGGCAAGGGTTGTTGGGATTTCGTGGACGACAGATGTCCTGCATCGCCCGACTGGCAGACCTCAGGTCCAATGGCTTCACACCACGGTGTGCTTGCAGCGACTACCAGATTCTCGGCATCAATGGGTCGTACGGCATGAATCATCACTATATAGCTGATTCACCTCATGCCATTCTTTCAACTTTTCGGCTTCTAAAAAGGTGAAGCGAAAAACTGAAGATGCTTCCAGCGACAGCCTGGAGGAGGCATGTCTCTTGGGAGGCAACAAATACGGAGGACAGCCTGGATTCGATTGGATTTTGATGTTCAGAGGGGTCACCAGACCAGACGAATGGGACTGGGTCATGGTGACCTTTTTTTTGGGGGGTCGTGTTCATGGGGATTGACGACCAATGTAGGTAACCTACATTGATTTAACCAGCAAATGACCTACATTTGACTTTTCTACCTACATTGGTGTCATTTTCATGGGGTAAATGAATGTATCTATTCCAGGTGGAGGGATGGTCTGAGCATGTGACAGCCTATCATATCGAAGGATCACCAGCGAGCACTTCCGCAACACTGAGCTGGTGTCTCTCGAAGACGTGTTCCGGACGTGCAGATTCTGCAACTCACTCGCAACTGATAGATTGACATGATCGTCCTGACCATTCACCTATGGCTAACTTGATGTTGTAGCAGAAGTGGGGAAATTACCACCGTGTTTCATGGTGTTCACTGCATTTCTGAGGCAACAGGCACTCCTACTTCCAGGATGGCAGTTGTCGCCCTTGTGAAATCTACCGAGCTTGGTCTGATGGCAAACGTGACGTTTGCCATGTGCTACCACACGAAAGTCCAGAGCGTGTAATCCTGTTCATGGGTGCAGCCGTGTTCGTGATCCTGACCTTCATCGCGTTCGAGATCCTTCACGCTCCTTTGGTGATTCTTGATGCCAAGTCGGACATCGAAGACCCCTCGGAGGTGGCAGCCAAAAGGATTTTCACCGTCTCAGTCAAGGGTCCTATCACCAGCCTTCCCACGAGCATATCTCGACTATTGCACCAGAGAGTGCGTTATCGTGCAAGGGGAACTGGTCTGCAGTGGCTGGATTTTGATCCACAAAAGTCCAAGGCAATCAAGGTTTGCAGCGTGGCACAGAAGAAGTTTTTGCTTCAAGATGCACACGTGCCATTCGATTGCGCTTCCTGCAGGGGGTCCCTTCATGCTACTGAGACTTGTGTAATGGTCACCCTGCTCATTGCCTTGCTCTTTTTGCTTGCGATTCTGCCCACCATTATCAAAGTCGCCGTCGTATCCGGAAACGGCCTGCAACATACCTTCGTCACTTGGAGAGTGACTAGAAAGTGTCTCCATAGTAGTTTGGGTATTGTTTCGTGGGCGCGTTCATTGTGTTGTGTTGTGTTCTATTTATTAAAATTTAGATTAACAATTAACTGTCTATCTTCTGCATCCTAGACAAGGTCACTTCTGTCTTCTACATTGCTCTTCCAATGGCGGCTGTGGCTGCGGTGCTGCACTGGCCGGTGGCATGGCTCATTCAAGGCCTGTACCGTAGAACGCCCTTCTCAGAAGCTTTGGATGACTACCGGAAACAAATCCACTGCAAACCTCATCCAGGCCCAGATGCAACGCATCCTCGCAACCAGGGCCTGTTGGTCCTCACACTACGTGGATTATGGAAGCACTTCGAGAGTTCCTGAACCTTCTCATCAGCTAAGCTTTCACGTTGGGTTGTTTCCTATAATTGTATACTTACAGGAAACAGGTGGCAGACCTTGACAGGAATTCGTGCTTTTTCGAGACGCTGTGACTCTGTTGGTTTGATGGCAAAAACATACCACAACGACCGCGACTATCTTCCATTCCCCGGGCTTTGAGAGGCTTCATTCTGGAGCGGAATATGCACTTTGTCGTGGCCAACATTGTAAGGCCTTTGACGCAGAGCAAAGGCGTGTCCTTCGTGACTCTTTGGGGTGGTAGGCAGGTGGACTACTTTGTGTCCCTCGGCAGACGTAAAGCTGATGGCAGATTGATGCGAACTGAAGCACTTGCTTGTGGCTTCCCTGCTTCTGTATGGAATCAAAGTTGAATCTCCCCATAAAAGGTCTCAATTAAGCCACATCCAAGCTCATTTGGTGATATATTCGGAAGTAGCTGCCAATGGACTACTTCTCTCAAATGGACTCGGCCATTTGAAAAGGATACTCACGCCCGAGTTGTACTGAGGATGTTCACGTGTGTACCGAGGATGAACATCCTCGGCCTTCTAAAGTATACCATCTACCAAGGATGTTCACGTCGTGTTGAGTCTCACACGAGGTCTTCGGAAGGTGACCCTCTTCAGGTCGTCGTGTTTGTGGTGATCCTTTTAGAACCATATCGTCTATCACAAACCTACGGTACACCACACATGACATGGTACCGAGCGTATGGTTGGATCTTGATATGTATATAGAATGTGTTATATCGAAGACTTAAAGTTTTTTGCGAAATTGTTCCATACGCTGAAATTTGATGAAATTTGTTTGTTGGACCAAAAGATTGCTTTCTCCTGGAGCTATTGTTTGTTTTCTTCATTCTCCCCTGGCTTGGTTTTAATATATAAATCACCACCACCACCAGCCACTGAGGTTCCTATTGTTTTTCCTATTGTTTCCTGTTGCCCAATGATATCAACATATTGCCCAAACCAAAGTTTCGACTGGTAGTCCGACCCTGGAATTGATTTATAGGTTTAGTGGACGGAATTGAAGAAAAACCTCGGACGTCTTTGCCGTACAACTGACTTGATATCAGATGTCTTTCCTCGCATGTCGCCGTGCTTTCCTTTGAAGACCACAGCCGTACTTTTCCTGAAAAAAATACTCAACAAGAGAATACTTCCCAGACTCATTTCCGTTGGCCTGCTTCGTCGTTGCCACGCTTTTTGTGCCTGCTTCGTCGGTCTCTCGTCCGACCCGTCGGTACTTCGTCGGTTCCCGACGTGTTCAATTGGATCGACCGGCTTTCGGTGAAGGACCGACCGACTAGACACTCAGTTTTGGTAGGTATGGGGTCTAAGGCTCAGACTCAATTGCTTGGTAGGATGGGGGCCTTTCTACAAATCAAGACTCCACACACAAAGACACCATTTTTTTTGTGTTCGCAGCCTTGACCCGCCCTACGCAGAGCTAAGGTCCCATTCCTGGGGCACAAGCTTCTCTCACTTTGTGCAGTCCATTCGCTGCCATGCCCTGTCCAAGGAAGGCTCTGCATCTTGGATCGACGCAGCCTATTGGATTTGTTCCTTTGTCACTTGGAACTGAACTCTATTTTGGATGTGTCAGGTTTTCTTCTGGACCAGTGTTGAAGGAAGCTAGACAAACTAGGCAAGTTGGTATGAAACCGCAGGCTCTGAAAAGACATATTGAAAGGCTTTTGGTTTCAGGCTCTTGACCATTGGTATGTTGCAAGACCCGGAATCCATGCATGGTTGGTTTGTGTTACCCTTACATGGCTTTCATTCTGCTGTCCAGGCCAACAACCAGTGGAATATCGCAGCAGAACTGGCCGACGATCCAATGGATAGCGCTTTTGCTCGGGCCTTGAGGGGCGGGATCAAGGGAGTTGCCATGGTTTTGGATCAAGAGGTGCAACCGCTCACGCGAGCCTCGACAGCACTGAGAGTATCGACACAGGTGGACGTTACTGTACCCGTTTGGGTTCCGTCCCTACATGCGTTGGGCTCAATGTTATTTGTCTTAAACTCGGACAAAGTACTTGTAAAACTCCAAACGGCATTGTTGTTCCTCATGAAATGTGGTGTAGCTGAAGGGAACTTACTTGCGCCTTAGCAATGACAACCAGTGCGGAAATGAGGAACAACTGTGGTTATTTATAAAGCACGTGAAATCTACTACAGAATACCACAACACATGCAACTATCAAGTGGCACACAAGACCACCAGAAGACGACCTCAAATACCAGGATTTGGCCAAGTAGAACTCAGAACTTCGGAAGTACAACTCAGGAGTTCGTGCCGTTTTTTGTGTCCGAACTCAGGAGTTTGGTGCTTGTTTGAGTTCCTGCTCTCCAGTCGAGAGCAACTGGAGCTGGTCTTCACCACCGACTTGGGAGTGGTGGGCGATGACGCTTCGGTTCGTTTGGTCCACAAACCAAGGGAAAACCTGAGCCAGCCCTACAATCCGTTCAGTAAGTTTGGTACATCTAGTATTGTCAGGGTTTGCACATCCCCATGCTTTGCTCGTCATCGCGGCCGTGACCCACGTGTCGCCGCTGTGACCTGCACCTGCTGTGAAGTGACCAATGCGTTCATGTGAGGACGGATGCGCTTCGTTTGACATTGCCTTGGAAGTGGGCAACAAGATCGAGTGCCTTGAGGTGGCGAAGTGCCAGGCATCAAGTGATGAAGACAAGAAACTTGCTTCAACAAATGCGTGAAGGGTCACGGAGCATGTTTGTTTGACGCAAGGGATCAGTTTAATTGAGGGGGCTGGGCATTGGTGAAAGATTCATGTTCGAAAGCGCCACGACCCAGTCCATCACATAGTCTTTGTTGCATCGCTTGTGCGTGGGGTTGCCAAAATGGGCTTCAGGATTGCAAGTACACAGTATAGTTGCCTTGTAATTGCGAGACCACCTGATCTTTGTTGGATCTTTAAAAGCTCCAAGGTTGCACATTGTTTGATAGGAAGGCTTGTACATGTTGAGTGATATATATATATATATATGTCTTTGAGCATGACGAGGAGAAAAATCTTTGAATACATCATCAATACCTTGGGCAGTTTGGAGAGCATGGATGGCCGGATCAAGCATTTGATGGGACAGATGCTGAAGAAGAACTTGGCAAATGTGGGAAGTGCAACTGATAGCCTGCTGCACAGACTAGGTCAAAGCTAATTTTACAATTTGTATTGTTTTTTAGTTTGCTTGGGTGCATGGTATTTTCCGGGACAGCGCAAGAGTCGTTGCCCCATTTCGAAGCCTTAATAGCTTCCAAATCCATTTTTGTCGGAGTGCGCACAAGGTCGTCACTCTTCCAATTTGTTTACTGCTTCCTGGCCCTACATGAGCAACCAACCACCACCATGTCAAGGAAGCCTTTTTAAATGGCCTATAGCCTATAGCTTCCGAATCCATTTTTGTGAGAGTACGCACAAGGTCGTCTCTCGTCCAATTTGTTTAGTTTAGTGTTTCCTGACCCTACATGAGCAACCAGCCACCGCCATGTGAAGACAACTGCCGTCAACTTATTTGGCATCGAACCTTTATTGACACCTTGTGATCTGGGCATTGGTGGTGAGATTGCTCGATGGGCCGTTCGGGTGTTGCCGAACGCGGCATCGCCGATTTGACTTCGATGAGACACCGCCGAAATCGCCATTGGATGATGTTCCAATGCGTGAAACTATGAGACCTTTCCTGAACACCCTGAAAGCAATCCCAAGCCTGCGAAACCGAAAAGTATCTTCAAAGATGTGAAAGGCAACCCCAAAAAGCAGACCTAAATGATGAACATCCCTTATCTCTATTTGCTTCCAACAGATCCTATCGTCGCTTTTGGGCCGAGATCGTGTTCTTCCCCCGCAAAACGGGGGTC